CTTATCGGTCATTAATGATTTACCTGAGGGATCACTATCTAGTGGCCTCAACAAGGACAGGAAGCTAGCGGCTTATCAAAGGTCCTCCAATTGTTCCCGAGATTTTTTCCCAACTGGATTTGAAACTGAAATAATGACTTGGAATTTACGACCGGCAGGTAGGTGGTTCCATGAGTTTATATCCTTATGGGTGAAAAAGCAGCTTCTATTTTCCGTCCTATATTATGGCTTTTGATCTCAATAAATAAATGAAATAGTCCATAAAAAGCCTAGTGGATCTACACTTAGCATGAGAGTTCTGCTGACTTGGTAATGTGGGTTAGCTGCACGGCACTCATGCGTCTGTATGTAAATATAGTAGTCTGTCATATAGGGATGATGGAGCTGGTTCATATACCAGATTTAATTCTAAAATAGAAACTTTGGAGGCAGTTTATAAGCTAGATGTTCAAAAGTCAGGCGTTCGTAAGTCAGGAACTCTCTGTACAGACACTAATTTTATTACAAGTTAGCTTGAATTTCATATTTTCCACTATAACATTTCTGAAGCTTAATTAAGCAAAACAGGATTAATGCTACAATTAATTAATGAATGCTACAGGCAAGTATTTCTCTTCATTAAGGGTATACAGGAACATTATTTCATAGCCTCATGTATGGTAACTTCAATTAACTAGCAAGCACAGTACTGTAGTTGAACTGTTAAATTTTGTTTGTCATTAACACCAAGAAATCCAAGCAGAAAACATCCCAGATCAAGACATCTCCAGCAAGAAGTTATTCAAGTTGAAGATGCCCATAGAGCTGCTGAACAGGGGATGGAAGAACGACTATGTACAGAATGAGCGCTCTTTGACAAATGAAATCTTAGAACTTCAATAGCATTAAGAGAAGGCACTTTTTACCTGTACTTTAATCTAGATTATGAAATGACTAGTCAATCTTAAAAATACATGAAGCTTGCTTATTTGACTGTAAATAGCATTATAGGCTATAATGTATTCAAATATGGTATACAGTACATTACTATTATTATTACAATACTTTTACATAACCGCAAACAAAATCAATTGTATAGATTTTCTTTAGAAATCTGATGTACCTGGCATATAAACACTTGTAAAACTATATTCTATATAACAATATAAACTATATAAAACTCTTTATCACTATGATCAAGTGATTATACACACAATCACAAAGGCTGAGCTGAAACTAATATTCAACTAACTGGTAGCAACATGAATTATATGATGGCATTTACAAACATTATTGATGCAATCTAATAAAAATCTTAAATCTTAAAACTCTTGACACTATCCTAATTCTCGTAATAAAGAGGCACTATTTGGTTCAGGTAAAATGAGGAACAAATTAGTATCAAGAAGAGTATTATATCATGGAAATAACACTTAAGACTTTCATAAATAACACCTGACCTTTCATAACTGCCACCCCGTGCATAAATAACATCCAACCTTGCATAAATAGCAACTTAGTTGAATACATGAAGTGGAGGGGACAAAATTCCAACAATACATACTTAAAATGAAGGCAGAATGGCATATGACCTGAGAAATTGCCCATTTACTGGGCAAAGGGAGAGATTCTAACATTTACATTGCTTTAAATTTTTATTGACTTTTACTTTTTATGACTTTTAGTCAATACTTTTTATTGACTTTCAGTCAATACTTTTATTGACTGAAATTTTACATTGGCTTTAAATTGCTTATGATAGTTTGTTTCAGAATAGAAAAAGTAAATATCAAAAGAAAGTGCCATAGAAAAAGGGATCAAGGAAAACGGCAAAGAATAAGCATTTTAGAGTACAATAACAGAAATGATGTTTATAATATGAAAAGCCATGCTTTTCTACATGGGTAACTACTAGAGAAATGGGATATCTTATTTGGTTAAGGTAATGTCACCTGTTGTCAGCTACTTGACCCATTCAATTTTCAATTTTTCTTTATTATGCACCCCATACCCATCCCGTAGGGTTTCTTTTTTTTGCATTCAATTTTTATCCGATTTACTTTGGGTTTGTTTCAAACTACGCACCATGAGGCTCTCTTTCTCACCACTAGGCTGCATGGTACAATAAGTTCATGAAAGGTGTGGACCACTTCGATCAAATGGTATTATGTCCCAAACGGGTTGCAGGTGGGTGACTTTAGCCGTTTATACTGGTAATGCTTCCCCCATATCATGTATTATATGCATATGTCTGTTTAGGGAATTTTATTCCGATCAATGTACAACCAAAAATAACTGTGTGCAACAAGTATAAACTTGACAAACATAACAAAAGTAAAAACATTTCGTGTGTGTTTGACGCTCACTGATATGTTCCAGTGTTGTTTTATATTTGGCGCTATTCTATCTTACGCTTTGTGATCTTTTTTACCTATGGGCTCATAGAACATTCTATTGCGAACACATTGACACAAAAATGAATGACGTACATAGAAAATTAATGTCATGAGAGTGAAATAAGTATAAACTTTCAAAGCATTAAGTTGATTAAATATATGGCATCAATGAGAAGACAAAGTTTGTCTATAAATCTAGTGTGCAGAGGCAATACTTGCTGAAAAACAAACGAATGTATAGGCAAGTGACCACATGGCACATGCTAACTGGTTAACCATGCCTGTGGCCAGCCAAGTACTGTAGTTATATTTGCCATTTTTTTGGAAGTAATTATCAAAAGAAGGAAAACCAAGCTGGGAAAACTATGTAGCACCGTCAGTGTCCCTGAATATTCAAAAGATGCTGAATATCACTCAGAATGCTAGTATGAGAACAAAAGGACATAACATGAGCAATATCAAAGATATTAGATTTACAAAAGTGTGTCAAGGGACAAATGACTCCATGGGACATTAGGGAAGCAAGACAGATGATCATCGTGAAAATCTGGATGATATTCAGAGATTTGCACAAGTGGCACAAAGCATTTTGGACAATAAGAAGCAGGGCGGCATTCCATTAACCCTTAAACTGCTCAGCATAAGAGGGCATAATTCAAAAAATATTTGAATTATGTAAAAAATTACTTCAAAATGTTAAACAAATCTCCAACTTATTTGGTTTCAGCGTCGTGAAACTTTCATCAAAATATTTTCAAATTTATTTTAGACGAATATTTAAAAAAAAAAGTGTTTTGTTGATGATAACGGCTCCTATTAACTGGAACTGATGGATAATGCAGTAATAAAGAGATGCAAGCACATGTCCAATGCATAAAGAATAGTAGTAAGAAGTGTCCACAAAGTGGATATAGAGCTGGTGCCTTTATAGAATTTGTGAGTACTGTAATATATAATACAGTAACACAAATAATAATGAGCATGTTATTATGCTCTATTTTGTTATATATCATATAAATACATTGCCTAAAGTTATTATCAGTTACATCAGTTACTTTCAACAATGTCCAAAAAATATTTTTTTTAGGGGAAATTTTTTTTTTCCTCCTTTATTATTTGAATTTGTTGTAACCTTTACATCCTGGAGAGTGTATACCCATTCCTAACTATGTCAAGACACAATTAAATGGGTCAACAAATAAGTCGGTAACAACTCTCAAAACTTGAGACTGAATTTTTTTTTTTTGGCTGATTTTTTCAGATTTCAAACTATTTTCCTTGTTTCTTTACATTGTTTTGATGATTAGGGACCAGATTAGAGCTTTTTTACTTATATAAGGTATACCCTAAATATATCCCCCTTAATCATTATAATTATCCCAATATTTTGTTTTTGGGGGGTTATTTTTTCTTGACTTCATTTCAACACACATTGACCTACAACTTTCACATATTCGAGTACGAATGTCAAACAAAGTTTATTAAAATATACAGTACAGTACAAGTAAATTCATGAATTAGAACTGCCTTGTTCATTGTCGATAACTTCAACTTCAATTATATCTATAACTAGAATTTCAACTTACTTCAGTATCCAAAAATTTAGTTTTTGACCAATTCTCACCATTTTTACATAGTATGCACAGCTGTCTATTCTACAATCCCTAAAGAATTAATTTTTCATAAACTAAACGTTTGGAGTTACAGTATTATTTTTTGTTGTCTAAATTTGCACATATTTCAAGTGCCACATTGACAATTTTTTTTTTTACAGTAAACTATACTTAAAACTTATACAATGGGGCCTCGACTTACGATGCTAATCCATTCCCAGAGACGGATCGTAAGTCAAAATATCGTAAGTCGAAGCGATTTTTCCCATAAGAAATAAAGGGAATTGAATTAATCTGTTCCCCACCCTCCAAATTATTAACATAAAAATACATTTTATACTGAATACAATGCGTTTTTTTCTAACTACAATACAGTACCAAAGTCTCTCTTACCTTTATGGAGGGCTCTTGATGGCGTATGGAAGATGGTGATGAGGGGGGAGGAAGAGAGTTGTTCCTGTTTGGAAGGGGAGTCCCCTTCCATTATCACATCAGGCAGTGATGTTTTCTCTGGGGTACTCTCTCTCCTACGTTTTGCCTGAATACCACTAGGACCTGGTTGTGGTTCAGTGCTTGTTTGTCGCACTACAAATTTGTCAAGAGACATTTGTTTTTCCCTTCGTTTTAACATTTGTCTGTAATGATGCATCACGGTGTCATTGAATAGGTTAAGGCAACGACCTACTGCAGCTTGATTTGGGCAAGTCGTTTCAGCAAAGGTTTGCAATTCTTCCCATGCTGCACACATTTTCTTAATTGTTGAGGAAGAGACATTCTGTACTCTTGTTTCTGCTCTATGGTCATCCTTACATGGATTTTCATATGTTTCGCCTTACCACTGACTTTCCTGGGACTCATGGCGTGATATATAATAATTACTTTATTGTTCAAAATGCAAAAAATCGCCACAAAAGCGGAATTTCTTATAGGCGCAATCGTCACTAAGCGGGCAGCTGTAGTAAACTGAGGCAGGTCAGCTGCGTGGCTGGGAACCACGCGCTCGGTCGAGCCGAACATGTACCAACAAATATCGGAAGTCAATGACACCATCGGATGTCGAGTCGCATTTTTCGATGAAATTTACATTGTAACTTATAATAATTTTAAGTAGGGGCAAGCGTATGTCGAGGTGCCATTGTATTCTAAATGTATGAAAATGAAGAGCATATGCTATTCTGAGAGCCTAACACCAAATGAACAATTGGTGATTTTTACATTTTTACAGCCGATTTCAAAATCTGAAGTTTTTAATATTCAATTTTATAATATTTTTTATTTTCTTGTTTTTCAAGTTACACTGGTATCATTTAGACAAAGTTGGAGCATTTGCTTAGTAGATTATGCACAAAACATTTGAAAGAGTCTCAGAAAATTAAAAAAACTGAGCTCATGGTCACACTTCTTATGAAGTTTTGCGCAGTTTAGGGGTTAAGTGCCCGTTAGTTAAGCATATGTGGCCAATACATAACCTAGGCAGAGTTGTTTTCCACCATCTATTATGTGGAAGGAGGGAGAAAAAAATGGGACATGTAACTATTAAAAGTGTGCAGTTTGTTACCTGTAATGTCATACAGGTATGACATTACCCGTGTCATATAGGTATGACATTACCCGTGTCATATAATGACTCCTATTATATGAGCCCAGAATTTTTTTTTTGCTTTTTTAAGATCTTAAATATGCTCAGCTGATAGCTGCAGCAAGCATGTCCATTCTTTGTGTTAGTGAAAAAGTTGGCTAAAAATTTAGAAAGATATGAATATTGACATATAAATGAACCTCACTGAGGAGTCTGGTTCCATATAGCTTATCTAAGAGGGAGAACAGTAGCTGCATAAAAATAAATATTTACAGTACACTTCCATAATCTTACATTAACAATTTACTGGCACAATGCTAAAAACATTACTGTACAATGTTTAGATGGTATGTTGATAGATAAGAGATTTTCTCCAATATTATAGTACCAGTACTGTTGATACACATGCAGGGCTGTGAAGCCCAGCTTCACAGCCCTGAGATCTGAAGCCCAGCTCAGATCTTAACTGCTGCAGGAAATTGCCATCCATTCTGGTGCAGGAACATAACTAACAAAATGGAAAGATCCTTCACAAACTGAGGGTTTCCTTCACCCTATGGGCACACATAATTACTCTGCCTTGACATTTCTTTACCTATAATAGGAAGAGTTAACAGAGGATGTATCTACATTTAGCAAAGCCTCGACTCTGGGCCGGTCAGTATGCATTATTTTGTACAGACTAGTATATATCACATCAACACTTTATCACTTCCCAATATCACCGTAACTTGCACTAAGCTTAACCATTACTGAATGGAAAACGTTTTTACATACAAAGTGGAACAATAGTTATTTACCAGCATCAGGAATCTTTCTTACAAATTTATATTAAGGGCACTGAAGTTACACTCTTCAAAGGCATAGAAGAAATGAAAACAAACGTGTCTTAGTCGATTTAAAGTTACAGAAATGCAAATCTTTAAAAGATTTAGGCATTCATTGGTTTGGAAATTAAGTTGTAGATAATTAAGACAAATGCATGAGTGAAAATAATCATTTGTAAATAGGTAAGATATTGCCTTACATTGAGATAGCAGGGCTTTTCATAGTATTCATCTTGTTCTCTTGCTAGGAATTCAATTACAAATCAAGATTATCGAAGTTGAATAAAGTGTGTGTTCGTAATATAGGATTAACCTTATTTACTATTGTCTAACGTGATAACAGAAAACTGCAGAATTATTTATGAAAATCAAATACTGGATGTACAATAGTATAAAAGGCGACGATTACAAATTTATACAGCATAGAAACAATACAGCATTTCTAACAAGAAGCGAGAGTGCGAAGTGCTGACATTTGACCTGTATTTTAATTAAGTATCACGGACGTTCCAATGGAAGGACTTAAATGAATGATCAACATGTATCTTAAAATTCAAAATCTGCTTATGATTATAAGTTTTGAGAACCATTTTGAGCACAAATGACACAGTGATGACCCCTCTGAGATAAGCAAATGGTATGGAAGGCATGGCTGCATGGAAACACAGTAATGCCTCCTTCAATCACTAAAGCATGGGTAGGTAATTTTAAATGACAACAAAAACATAGGCCTTGTAAAACCTGAGTCTGCACTCCCCAGTGGTGTCCCAAAGGTCTTGGAGGCTGCCGAACACCATGCATTGACGACTTCGGGGGAACAGGGTCATCACCATTCTGATCCATCTTTAGTTCATTTTGATGCCCTTCATGTTTAACACCCTCAAAGCTGTATTTGGAAAGTTTCACAGTTTCTTTATTAGCTCTGTTGTTTACGGCATCATGTCTCTGAAGTGCTTTGGCTATCTGTAAAATGTAAATTCATTAGAAAAATTTATGAAACGGTTTCCCAGCACTTAATATTATGCATAATATTTAGAGAAACGGATCCTACTGGATAAAAGTATCAGGCACATATTATTTTAAAACTAAAGGGTTTATATTAAAACAAATTCGGTAGAAAATCCAGTGTTGAATACAATGAAATGCAGACATTCCATTTTTAACCAAAAATAAAGGAAAAAGTTGAAGGTGAAGACAATGAAGACCAGACTCAAAGGATCAATAACCTCCATTCCAGAAAAACATGAAGCTCCCTAACCTAACAGTCGGAAGCAAGAACTAGGAGAAAAGCTGGCTACAAAATTAATCCTCAACTGTGGGAGAAACACAAAAGATAAGATAAAAATGAGATACAATCCAAAGAATAAGAAAACTAAGGAGGTGATTCAGCCTGGCTGAATGAAAATGAAAGAATGCCAAAGACAACCAAAAAAAAAAAGACTGGTAAAGCATCACCAACTCCAAAAGCCAGCAAGAGGAGCTTCACCAAGACCAAACGATAAGAGGTGACAGTACTGTATAAGGCTTCAAAACCAGCGTTGAATGTAATGAAACGCCATTTTCTGGGCGAGACCCCAGAGGTTCCCTGGAGCTATCCAGGCTGATATGGATATACTGTTATCTTGAGGTTATCTTGAGATGATTTCGGGGCTTTAGTGTCCCCGTGGCCCGGTCCTCGACCAGGCCTCCACCCCCATGAAGCAGCCCGTGACAGCTGACTAACACCCAGGTACCTATTTTACTGCTAGGTAACAGGGGCATAGGGTGAAAGAAACTCTGCCCATTGTTTCTCACCGGCGCCTGGGATCGAACCCAGGACCACAGGATCACAAGTCCAGCGTGCTGTCCGCTCGGCCGACCGGCTCCCTGTAAATGGAGTTCTTAGGCCTATCAGAGACCACGAGGCAGAACCTGGCCTCCCCCTTAGACCACGAGGAGCAATGGCCTATAGAAACCCCAGTGTGGTTGGAAGCATTTTATGTCTGCCATCGACCAGATCAGGCACCCAGAAAGGCAAGCGCCCCAAAACAAACCCATATTCTGTTTAAGAAATTGTTACTGCAACCCGAACTAGTGGACAGAACTTCCTCTAACAAAACTGAGCAAATGAGCATGACATTGGTCCCTGGTAGGCCTAAAACTCCATTCACATTGATGCCAAAGTCTAATATTTTCATATCACCCTGGATAGCTCTAGGGAGTCAAAGGGGCTTCCCCAGAAAGACCCAAGGAAAAAAAGAAATCACAACAGGAACCAACATCGATAACACTCTTACCTAAGAGAGAATAAGAGGCAGAAGACCCGCAAAACCACCTCATATTGCTGCAGTGAAGAAAGCTACAAATGCAATATCAACAGATCTGTAACTCTACTCAATTCAGATGATGGAAAATAAGGCCTAATAACTTCATAGGCAAAGATCAGCAACCAAAGTCAAAAACAACATAGGCATTGTGACATGGAGTTGCCCAGACCTGGTATCTCGGGTAGGGCAGGCTTAAATAGGGCACAATTATCTGCATTGAAAGAGAAACCCCCAGAGAAAAACCTGAAACCAGAGGCCACCTCTTTCCAGTTAATGATCTCAGTTTAATTAAAAGTATGCTACTTGTCCAAAGAAAACAAGTTGTCTGCCAGTCAAGAGGGAGCTGGGATCCTGTACTGCAGTCAGGAATCAGTAGGTAACCCATACAATACAGCATTGAAGTCCATGTTGGATACATGGTCTCCTCTCATGCCAAGAACTGAAGGAAGTCGCCAAAGCTAGGGAAAGACTAGACAATGGATACCTACACAAAGGTAACATATCCCGGCCAATAACTGAAAGATGGAAACACACCTGCAAGGGAGAGAAGTCTACCTTGTATCATGAGCAACAAAAGACACTGCTCCGGCAACCACCAAAGCCATGGGGTCGTCTTTTTCCTTCCCCTCACAGAGGGAGCAGCCCCAGGAATGTTCTCTCCTGACGTTTGAGGGTTATTAGGAGTACTAAACATTATATTTGTATATTATGTCCTTGGGAACATGTCTCCTAACCCAATGAAAGTGGGAAATGGGCTAATAGTGATTGGAATTTGAGAACATTTTAGTGAATTAGTATGGAAGGTCTACCACAACAACAATCATAATGTCAGTATGGACAGAAGAAAGAATAATTTCAGCACTGAACTTTAATTAATACAGGACATTCACAAACAGCCTGAGCAGTAACTACTATACAAACCTTGTGAGAGTAAAATTTTCTCTTGGTACAAGTCAGAGCGTCCAAAAGAGACCAGCTTGCAGTTTGGCCTTTCTTTTCAGCCAATGAAGTCAAAATACACCAATTGTAAATTCTGAAATATTTAAAGTAGTTATTACAGTTAATGACATACAATTCTTAAGATTCTTCAACAATTAAAATCAAGCCATGCTCTTTATTCACATTTGCTTCAGCCCACTACTAAATGTGATTGTATTTGATTTCTTGTAAAGGTGGACCACCTTGTCAAAGGTGCCCATGAAAGACTACCATGGAGAAAGAGGGGTGCCCAACTGCCCATGAGAGACTACTATGGAGAAAGAGGGGTGCCCAACTGCCCATGAGAGACTACCATGGAGAAAGAGGGATGCCCAACTGCCCATGAGAGACTACCATGGAGAAAGAGGGGTGCCCAACTGCCCATGAGAGACTACTATGGAGAAAGAGGGGTTACCTTGAGGTTACCTTGAGATGTTTTTAGGACTAAGCGACCCCGCGGCCCGGTCGTCAACCAGGCCTCGTTGCTGGACTGGTCAACCAAGCTGTTGGACGTGACTACTCGCAGCCTGACATACGAGTCACAGCCTGGTTGATCGGGTATCCTTTGGAGGTGCTTATCAAGTTCTCTCTTGAACACTGTGAGGGGTCGGCCAGTTATGCCCCTTATGTGTAGTAGAAGCGTGTTGAACAGTCTCGGGCCTCTGATGTTGATAGAGTTCTCTCTCAGTGTACCTGTTGCACCTCTGCTTTTCAATGGGGGAATTCTGCACATCCTGCCATACCTTCTTCTCTCATGTGATGTTATTTGTTTATTTGTGTGTGCAGGTTTGGGACCAGCCCCTCTACTATTTTCCATGTATAAATTATTATGTATCTCTCCTGCCTGCGCTCAAGAGAATACAGGTTTAGGCTCTTTAGTCGGTCCCAATAGTTTAGATGTTTTACCGAGTGGATTCTAGCAGTAAAGGATCTCTGCACGCTCTCCAGCGGGTGCCCAACTGCCCATGAGAGACTCCCATGGAGAAAGAGGGGTGCCTAACTGCCTATGAGAGACTATTATGAGAAAGAGGGGTGCCCAACTGCCCATGAGAGACTACCATGGAAAAAGGGGTGCCCATGAAAGCCTACTGCAGAAAAAGTGGGGTGCCCACAAGAGCCTACCATGAAGAAAGAGGGAATGTGCCCTTCTCCCAAAGATTCTTTTGTGGTTACATGCACTGCAACACCATTTTTTCTACTACACATTTTAACATGGTTGTCCTTCCTTTAATTTAAAATATTGTACTGCTAAGCACTCCCTTTTTCCAGTCAACTCTATGGAAGGCTAAAATCAAAGCTAAAGAAAGCTTTTTTTCAAATTTTGAAATATGCATGTGTTAACAGGCCTGCATAATTTTTTGGTAGGCACTCGTGTAACTCCATCCCCATCATATAATTTGAAAAGGGAGGGCAACGTCAAATGAGGAGGAAACCAAACCCGTTCCAATAGCAACTGATTACAGGTGGTGTCTCGTCTCAATGCTCGGCATACCTCACATCACCCACAATATTATGAATATTCTTAAGAACACAAATGTTTCCCTTTACCATATATGTTAAGATGAAGATGATCAAAGTCAAGTGATTAATATAATAAAATTACCATTTTAGGTGGCAACTTGGTAGCTCCTCGAGGTACAGCACTGGGGCTGCCAAGCTATAGGATATCACAACAGGCCTTTGACACCCACCTGAGCCTACTGGGAGCCAGAACCAGAATCTGGCACATTCTACAAGGTGAGGAGAGCTCTGCAATGAGAGATCAATCTAAAAACAAGTAAAAATCCAGCACTAAATGTAAGGAAACCTCTCTGTCTGGTTAGCAAACTGGTCATTGCCTGATACTACAACCAAGCAATGACCAGGCATTGCATTGCAGGTGACAAACATAATCATGTAGTAGTAACTGAAATAAACAATGCAATGACCTCCTGGCAGCACAATCAATAAAGGAAAAGGCAACACCACTTAGCTGAAAATACAAATCAGTCGATGGGCTAACTTTGGCTGCCATCTAGTACTGGTCAGGCACATTGGTCGAGCCCGGCCTCAGGCCAGGATCGGGGAGAAGAAGAACCCCCAAAACCCTTTCCAAGTATTACAGTTAGGGTATTTACTTTGTGCCAATGATTACTTTTCTAATTTCTCTTGAAAATGCCTAACTTCCTTCAAGTGGTCACTTGTTTTTTGCACCTATGCTTTCTGGGGATTAGTCATATGTTTTATGGCTCGTCACTGATCCTAAACTCCTTTTGCAACATAGAATGCACCAAATTCTGGTCTTGGCTTCTAGAGGTAGGCAAGGACTGATTTCAGAGATCTGTGTAAATAACTAAGACTTGCCAGAATCAGCATTTATGCTGGGAAGCTACCAAGGGGTACCTACTGTACTTTGCAGAATACATTACCAAAGAATTTTACTGAAAAAATATTACCTTTCTGTCAATATTCCTGGTGGAATCTTGTCTTGCACCCAACTCAGCAGTTGTAGAGTCTCCACAGCTCCAACTCTTCGAAGAACATGTGCCACCACTGCCTCCCACAACTCTCCCATGCTGGATACACTTTCATCACTTGACATTCCAGGATGGACCAGTTCTTTGATATGTCTATTAATATCTTTGCTTGCACTGAACAATGCTTCAGCTTTATCAAAATCTTCTGCATTTAATTCTGTGTAATGAGGTTCTCCGCTTACTTGGAATATGTATTGAAATGGTTTTTGTTTCTCAACAATATTGTTTACCACTTCCTCAGGAAAATTAATTTTATTGTTACATTTATAGCACTTCATGATAAAATTATCTTCACTAGTGATGCTAGCTAATATATCAATGATCATCATAAATTCATCTGCCTGTAATACCTCCATGATATCATAAAGGAGATGCAGATTACAACTTTGTAAGATGAATGGAAAACACTGACTGCTGGAGTGCAAGTTATATGCCAGAGTAATAATGCAATATCCTTTCCAGTACCCCAAGTTCTGACACAATTCAGACAAATTTTTAGCATCCAATATATCATGGTCTACTATGGCATCTACAAGATATTCCAAATTCACAGGTCTATAGCATGGTATTGGCATACCACAACTGCACGAAAATGTACTAGGATTAGCAGTGTTTAATAAGACACTAAGAATGTCATATTGAAGCTCGGAACATGAAATCCAATTATTCAGATATAACTGAATCAAATTCTTGTGTTGTGACAATTCAATCAAGTACTGTAAGAAATGTTTCTGAAACTGTGACTTGTTAGATGAACAACCCACCTCAAGTGAGCGGGTTGCAAAATGATTCAATATGAATATCACATCAGTTATCACAGCAGGATTGTCAATCTGAGCTGCAGCGGTGATAAAATTCTTCATATTCCCAGCAGAGGCTAGTCTATAAAGGATTGACACCCTCTGAGAGCGTGTAAAGTCCAAATCAGGAATAATGGATGATAATGGATGGCTACTATATCCACCACTTGTCACTTTTTCCAGCAAAGCTGCCCATGTCATAACATAATAATGCTGCCCAAGAGTATCTAAGGCATTGAGCAGGTTTGAATAATGAAGTAAACCACAATCATTTGATATTAGATAGGCATATAAAGCATCTAGTTTTTGTATTGCTTTGGGCGTCAGGGGGTGTTGCATACTGTCTTGCTTATGAAGGTTAGGTGCTACTTTAGCATTATAAATGTCATCAATGTAGACACCAGTATTTAAACATTGGAGAAACAACTCTGTGATCTGTTCAAGGATATCAGCATTCATGACAGATGGTTCAAAACCAATATCATTACTGTCCCAGTGAAGAGAATCACACGAGGTTCTTCCACTACCCTGAGAGTGTGAGGAGTCAACTGAAGATAGTGACACAGGGCCATCTGCAGGCATTTCTTCACTGGCTTGTGAGGACTGATGTTTACTGGGTTGTATCTGCTGGACAGTGCTAAAATATACTTCTAACCAATGGGTTAAGAGGATGCAGGCTTGTGCTTCATCATCTGCATTTATTATCTGCCGAAAGGTGGATGTCACCAATTCATGCAAGTTTTTGACAATTCCTGGGAGTTCCACACATGGTCGTGTTATTTCCTCTCCAGGTGGAACATTAGTTGTCTTATACAAGAGCGGAATGCTTCCAGTATTATTTTGTGTATGTTTCTTTTTTGATTTGGTTTTAATAACAATGCTTGTATTAAAATCATCCAATTGATCTGTCTCCCCTGATGTACTACTCTGTAGCTGGTCTTCCTGATCTGTATTTGAGCTACTTCCAAGTATATCCAATATTGAAAATGGCTCATCAACTAATTTCCTAGAAGATCCATCTCCTGTAGACATAAGTGGCGTTACACTTTTCAATCGATCTGTCAAATTTTTAGTTCCTGAGGTTATGGTGTCGACCATATTAGTAGCAACATTTTCCATTAAATCCTGTAAAAGAGAAGCAGCTTCAGAGCCAGGATGAATGGGAGCATAAGTGAGATTGTAAATGTGGGAATCGTAAGAATGACTTGAAGACTGATTACTATCCAAGAATATTCTTGATGCCATTTCAAGGTCAGGTGAGCTGGTATCTGAAGAAAATAATGGGTCTTCATACATTTCTATAGAACTCTCAAAGCTTTTATGAGATCTATGATCAGAATGTTGAGAGCATCTTCCAGAAGACAGAGAGGGACTGTTTACTTCATGATATAGTTCTGAACTGCTACATTTATTTTCAGTTGAAGGAGAAGGACTACTGAACCCATTAATGACTTTACCTAATGACTTTGATTGCAGTGCATCTTCACGACACATGTGGCTCAAGGTTAGAGGGCTCTGTATATCTTGCATGTATGTTGTATTATGTCCAAGATTTTTATCTCGATGTGCATGATGAAGTGGGCTGCTTTCAACCGAAACCGTGCAACGTTGCACAGAGATTTCCTCCCGTCCCCGACGTAAATAAGGATCACTGTACCATCTTGTCACTGATGTTGGGAGAAACATTCGAGGACCAAATATAAAAGAGTTGAGGCCTTCTCTGATTCTGCAATCTTCCAAGCTATCATTTCTGACACAACTAACACGAGACTCAAAATGATAGCTGCTACTCTGTTTCTCATTTACTTTATCTAAACCAGCATAAATCTTCAAACTTTGCAGTCTCTCTTGAATGACTTTACTAATAATATGGTTGGAAAGATCTGTTAATATCTTTGCCCCTAAACGAGACAGCAATTCAGATTTTAAGAAAACTTCTTTATACTGTAAGCACAGTTGAGCACACCCTACATGATGACCACGTGTGTGTAAAACTAAAATAGCAATATCTACTGTAGTTATCATAAAGTTTTGTATACACCCATTGCCTGTTTTGTAGATAAGAGTATTCCCTGAAACCTTTACATCAGTAACACTGTCTGATACACTAATCCACAAAAGTACTTTCGAGTTTGCTGGATCTATAACATACAAACCATAAGTAGAGATGGCAAGAAGGTAGTTGCTGTAAAAGCTGAGCAACTTTGTAAATGCAACACTGACTGGTGGATGTGATGTAACTGACAATGCTGTGTTATAATTTGATGAGCTATTAGAAGCTTTTTCGAGTGTCTTGGTTTGTGAGGGATCTTCCTTTTTCTGATGTGTATACTGAAAACATAACCCTAATGTCTTGGTGCTTGGTGTCTTATCAATCTCTTCTAACAATTCTTGTTCACCAAATGATCCATCTGTTAAAAGCACCTCAGCAGGAGGAACCATAAGAGCCCTTTTGAGCTGATGTGTTACAAGAACCTTTCCAGAATGATCAGCCTCCCAAATTCTTGTGCCAGGACGTGCACAAAATATTCTAGATGTTAAACCAACTTTTAAACTACTGTGGTTTTCTTGGCTTGGTTTTGTACTCTTGTCAGCTTGGTCATCTTCCACTGCTTCATAACAATCGGATAATCCTGATGTTTCCGAGCCAGACAAAGGTTGAGTAACAGCTTGTAGGGCTTCTAAACTTTCCTCCAGTTCCTGGTGAGTACTGCCAGTAGAGCAAGTAGTTTGAGCATTACTGCTGCTAGGGTTCACCCGGCAGAAACATCCTCCATATTCACCCTGTCTCAACTTTGTTCCAATTTGCAAGAAAGTTTCAAGACTCGTGTTGCAAATAAAAGAACGGGTAAGAGTTGACACAAGAAGATAGCCATCACTGTAATCCAGCTGAGTAACACCAGATTCTAGTGTCATCAGATGTGAGCAAGAACTTCTAAACAAGGAGACAGTCTGCAAAAATAAAAACGGATGACATTTAAAAATATGACTAATATTTATTCGTACTATATGTGGTAATTATACGAGTGGTAACAGTAAAAAGCAATACTTTATCTAAATGTATCTCTGATGTCTTGGGACTAAGCCCCTCAACATATATCACATCATCCCTTTCCAGTCCTACTTAATTGGCAGAAGAATGCTTCAATGTTTTTTACGTATTTCCCCACTGATGATCTACACCAAGAATAACTTTCAGGGTGTTAGTTTTTTTATTTATAAATACAAGAGTTCTTACATTCTTGTAAACCACTAACATGCATAGCGTTTCAGGCAGGTCTTTAATCTTAATTTTCCCTGGAATACAACCTGTCAAATCATTAAACAACCAGGTACTAATTCACTGCTGGGTGAACACAGGCGTACAGTTAAGGATTGGTGCTTAGTTAATACTCCCTGACCAGGATACAAACCCAGGCAAAATCGCTGGCAAACCACGGCGCGGATGTGTTACCACTGTACCATGGGGACTGCTTAGTCAATCTGGGTTCACTTTACAAAGGTATTACAAAATATTAAGTATAAAAACCCTTACTAACAATGATTTTGTGGAACAAATTTCTGGTACACAAGGCAATTAATAAAAACCAGCATTGAATGTAATGAAACGCCATTTTCTGGGTGAGACCCGGAGGCTCCCCGGAGCCATACTGGGCTGATGTGTATATATTAGACTGTGCACCAGTCAATTGATGGAGTTCTAGGTCTACAGGGGACCAAGAGCCAGAACCTGGCCCCCCTCAGAAAGGCACGAAGAGCAATGGCCTATAGATACCCCCATGTAGTTGGAAGCAGTTTATGTCTGCCATCTACCAGGTCAGGCACCCAGAAAGGTAGGAATTCCAAAACAAACTGCAGCTGATTAAACATTGCAAACTGAAAGTCGAACGAGCAAGCAGAACTCCCCCAATAAGCAAACAAGCATGACATCACCACAGCCGCCGTGCTGTTTGCGCAACTTCCCCCTTCCCCGGAGGTGGGAATGGGAGTCTCAGACCTCCCGCACCGATTACCCAACCTCAGTTGAGAGGCTGAATATCAAAAATGCAAAAAAAGTGCCAACTGGAGGGAGAGGGTAAGGGTTTGGGGGTGGGGGGTGGGGCAGAGGGATATTCCTGCATGGGCCCCCAAGCCTCTGGCTGGCTCACTAAGTGTTGCTTGTATCTGTTTTACTTGGGTGGAGTATGAGTATTTATGACCCATATGGTCACTTCAATAAGATTTTGTCCCACATGTTTAACAACAACTTCTGCTCTGTTGAATCTAAGTTGAAATCTTAATGGGGTTGTAACTCTGCACTGTGTTAAATAATGTTCCAATGGTCTGTTGGGCATTTCTCCACAGTGCTGACATTTCCTCTCATCTTCCAGAACCTGTAAGCCTATTTCCCATGCACATGGGTATCCAAGCCTGATTCAATGTAAGTGTAATTCTGTTGTTTTACTGCTCCCTTTTATCAAACTAAGTGGTTTGTAGTTGGTTAAATTCTTGTACCAACCTGCAGATCCTGATGTTGCAACTGGTGTGTTGTGGTCACTGTACATCTTTTTGCATTGCTCTGTTTCTAATTATTTTCTTAGCCCTTAAACCATGCAATACATACATATACTATGGGAGTAACTTTCCCAAAACTGCGGAATACACACATACAATTGAGGGTCTAGCGCACGATTTTAAACACCCCATGTGGGATAGGGGGCAGCTATAGTCAAGCCGACCCCATATGTAAACAAATGCCACCTGGGAAAAAGCGTAGGCCACCATTGTCTGCAGGCCTCAATTAGCCGACAGAGACCATGGTGAGCGCATCACGTTCCACCGACCGACCCCACTCAGTGAAGCGTGTATCGCGACCTTTGATCGAGGATGAAATTAATCAGAATTTGTTCCCGGATGGTGATGAACCTGATATTGACGACTCCAACAAAGATCATGACCACACATAGCCCTCAGATGTGGATACGACAGATGATGAGAGTGAACATGCTGGTGCCACTAGGGCTAGGCCTAGCACCTCACCCATGCCTCCTTGCCCACACTAGATACCACTTCGTGCCAAACCACACAGTTCATGTGTTACTTTGCCAGATTTTGATGTTTGGGTTGACAATTCTGAGGAAGGTCAATCATTTTCTGGTTTTAGTGATTTAGAATCGGAAAATAGTTTCGCTGCCGCTAGTGCCAGTGCCAGTGGAGTGCATGGTGTTGCCAAGCGACATTTTGTTGCACCAGCAGGATCTGGCCTAGACATGCTGCACCGCATGGGGACACTGAAGAACAATGCCCCTTAACATCAAGTAATTTTCCGTCATAGTCCCTGCCCGCCCCTACTGTTGCTAGACAGGCTTTAGCTCCTGGTCCACGGATTCCTCACTGTGGTGCCGTTTTTGATTCTCGAAAGACACCAGGTGTATTTGTGTTGAGTGATGGGACAGATTTTGTTCCACAAATTCCTGCCTTTGACAATTCAGAAGTTGGGATTACAGGCCTTTTCCCCGATACAGGTTACGATATGTGTGAAATGGACTACTTTACTGCATATTTGGATGAGCCGCTCATGGAACATATTGTTTAGGAAACAAATATGCGGCTGATCTCATTAGTGAGGAGTTATCCGATTTTTCACGATTAAAGCGATGGAAAGATACGACTTTAGGTGAGATGTTTTTGGCACTGTGTATGTTGATGAAACATTGTGTCAAACCCATACTTGACCATTTTTGGAGCAAAGACCAATGTTCCAACACCAATGTTCGGGAAATATATGTCTCAAAACAGATTTGCGATACTCCTCAGGTGTCTTCATTTTGCAAATAATGAAGACCAGACTGAAGATAATAGACTTTGGAAGGTGAGGCACATCCTGAATGAACTTATTGGAAAGTACAGGGATTTCTACGTACCAGCTCAGAAGCTGGTGATTGACGAATCCCTCGTGCTTTTCAAAGGACGTCTTGCCTTCAAGCAGTATATTCCCTCCAAATGTCACAGATTTGGATTGAAATTCTTTGTACTCTGTGACTGTGAAACAGAAATTGTTACACATGATAATGTATATGGGTACAAATGTAGACATTCCTGCTAATGAGCAACATGGCTTCTCAGGTAGTGTGGTGAAGTCACTGCTTGCACCATATCTGAACAAGGGCCACATTTTATACACAGATAACTATTTTACCAGTCCCTTGCTAACTAGGTTCTTGCTTGATAATAGAACTGGAGTGTGTGGTACAGTGAAGGCAAAATGAAGGGAAAGGCCAGCATTTCACACTGCTATGAAGGTTGGTGATTGCAAGCTAAGAAAAACTGGTGCAATGCTTTCAGTGCGGTGGAAAGACAGGCGTGAAGTGAACATGTTGACCACCGTTCACGATGGTACAATGGTGGACAGTGGCAAGGTGAACAGAACAACAAAACAAAAAATCTACAAGCCAGATTGTGTTTTGGACCATAATATCAACATGCGTTTGGTGGATAAATGTGATATGATGGTGGGGGCAGAAGACTGTGTATGGAAAATAGTGAAGTGGAACAAGATGTTTTTCTACCTTGTTGACATAATACTGAACAGTTACAATATGTATCTTGTCAAAACAGGTAGTAAACGAAATTTCCGTGCGTTCAGTTTTGTAGTGACAATTACTAGAAAAGTTTGGCAAACCAATTCCTGGCAAACAAAGGCCCATTGTGTGCCCAGTATTGCCCCATGCTCCCACCCCAGGCTCACTTTCAAGGATGCCTTTCTGACACACAATGTAAGGTATTTACCCACAACTGGAAAGCATGCAGTAGGCAAGCGTGAATGCATTGTATGCAAGATCACAACAAAGAGGAAACAGAAACGTAAATTGGTGTTAACTTGATGCAAGGTCCCATTGTGCTATATCAAATGTTTTGACGAGTATCACAGACTTGAAGGACTTCTAAATGCCCAATACTGGTGCAAAAACATGTACATACAGAGTGAGTGTATATAGTGAAAACAATTCATAATAAATTGTATATTTCCTGAAAATAAAACATTTTTGTGCACATACATGTGACACTAATATGTGATAACATAATAAATTTACAGCAGTTATATTATAATAAAACATCAAATGACAATATATTGTACCACATTAGTGAAAAAATGGTTGTAAAATATGCCATAGATACTGTAAATAATGCCGTGAAAATAAATTTGTGGCAACTCGGGCTCCTCCTGACTCTTCCAGGACGCACCACCCTTGCGCAACGAAGATTCGTGATGTCATCAGCCAACTTCTCAGCTCATTTATGTCATTGGTAATTACAATTAATTTTTTCCCTGTTCTCAGGGAACACAAATATGTAAAGAGGTTAATAAGAAAAAAAAATTATTTTTTTTTTGTTGCGCCTGGCGGCGTTGCAGGCCAAAAGGCTCTTAGCGGCTTAAGGGTTAATCTATGATAGACTCTGTGGTATGTAAATGTCTACATTTCTTCTCCAAGTTGTAAGTTTTGCAGCTTCATCTGCAATGTCATTTCCTATTACTGTATCATTGTAACATCAGTGTCACACATATCCTACCTGTCAATGTTGTGCTCCTGATAGGGCACCAGGCTCAATATACTCTACCTATGAAAGCAACAGTTTAGAAAACAAAGAATATTTTTCCCCAATGTTGTACCTTATAATGTACATTACAGTATTTACATTAATAAACAATTCAGGAAAATACAAAGTTAAAGTAAACTCATATTTTTGTAAACTTACTTTACTCTTGGGAATATAAAGGACTGACACTCTGCCTGAAATGTCTCCAATGTACACCTCACTACAGCTGTGTGTCCAAGCAACTGATGAAACCGTGTGACCTTCATGTTCACGAGACCTGACCAGGTACCGTGACCCTCCTCCACTTTGGCTGGCCAGCTGGAGAGAGAAGACTATTGTGAGTTTTTATCATTAAATTCATTCATCCAATAATAATTATAATAATAACAATAATTTATTAAAAAATACAAAAGAATATTATACAGGGGGTATAATATAGTACCTGCCATTTTTATATTTATTGACACACAAATTCGTAATCTTAATATTTCTTTTTAACTAGATGGCGGTGCCATCCAAACATCTGCAAGGTATTACACTAGTTTCTGACCTACAATGCACGAGTAGTTTATAGAGTACAGTATGACTCGGTGGCATTTCTAACTTTTACTTGCTTCCCCTTTCAAATTTTCCTTGGCTGGAAAAATAAGGTTCCTATACACTGATTCTCAGCATTAAGTGCACTGCAATCATGTCTTTTTTATTGGCCTTCCCTTCCAAGGATGTTTGACTGCACTCCCTTTACTAGTCTTCATAGCTTGGTTCTGTTATTGCAGGCACCAGTCTTTAAAATCTCTGGACTTTCTAAATTTGTGTGCATCTCACAAGATGAGGATTATATGTTAGTGCTGCATATTTGAGAACTGGTCATGTCTTAAACGAATCCAAATAAATTAAAAAAAAACTGAATATGTTTGCCAGTTTCACTTACACAGCTAACAATGTTTATTTTTCCGCTATGTGTTCTTCTGGTGTTAGGGTCTGTGCTATGTTTTTTAGATTCCAGTACCTGCTATCTCTCTTATTTCTCAACCTCCTTTTCCATATTCATTACCTTATACTTACTGTTATTGGATTCCATCAACCATTTTTATCTGCTACTCCTATAGTTTTCTTAGGTTCTCTTTCAGTGGCCCAAATTGTCATTAAATTTGCATCCTCTGTTAGCACTGACATCCAGGAACTTACACTTTGTGTAATTACCTAAGTGTAGTTACAGGATGAGAGCTACGCTCATGATGTCCCGTCTTCCCAACACTCTTTGTCATACAACGCTTTGAAACTACTGACGGTTTCGGCCTCCATCACCTCTCACCCAACTCGTTCCAACCGTCTACCACTGTTTGCGAAAGTGAATTTCCTTATATTTCTTCGGCATCTTTGTTTAGTTTAAATCTATGACCTCTAGTTCTTGAAGTTCCAGGTCTCAGGAATTTTTCCCTGTCAATTTTATTGATTCCTTTTACTATTTTGTACGTGATCATATCACCTCTTTTCCTTATATCCTCCATTTTTGGTATATTTAATGCTTCTAACCTCTCCTCGTAGTTCTTGTCCTTTGGTTCTGGGAGCCACTTAGTGACATGTTTTGCACCGTTTCCAGTTGTTGATGTGCTTCTTAAGACATGGGCACCATACAACCACTGCATATTCTAGCTTTGGTCTAACACAAGTTGTGAACAATTTCTTTAATATTTGGCCATCAATGTATTTAAAAGCAATTCTGAAGTTAGAAACTGTAGCATAGGCTCCTCAAACAATGTTCTTTATGTGGTCCTCAGGTGATAGTTTTCTATCTAGAACCACCCCTAGATCTTTCTTGATAGGAACTCTTTAAAGATTTCTCACATAATTTATAGGTTATGTGGGGTATATGTTTGCCTCTTCCATATTCTAGAACATGGCATTTACTCATTAAATTCCATTTGCCAATTGGTGCTTCATATAATTATTTTGTCCAGATCTTCTTGAAGGGCATGACGATCATCTAAGTTTCTTATCTTTCCTATAATCTTAGCATCATCAGCAAAAACATTCATATAATTCTGTATTCCATCTCGTAGATCGTTTATGTAGACAATAAACATTACCGGTGCAAGAACTGAACCCTGTGGTACTAAGCTGGTGACATTTCTCCAGTTCAATACATTGTCTCTGATTACTGCTCTCATTTTTCTATCAGAAAATGTTTCATACATGTTAGAAGCTTACCTGTTACCCCTCCAATATGTTCCAATCTCCAGAACAACCTCTTACGTGGAACTCTGTCAAGTCTTTTTAGGTCCCGATAGATGCAGTCAACCCAACCATCTCTTTCCTATAAAATCTCTGTGGCTCGATCATAGAAACTAAGTAAATTCGTTACACAGGATCTTCCAGATTGAAAACCATACTGACTGTCAGATATTATATCGTATTTCTCCAGGTGTTCTACCCCACTTAGTTTTAATTATTTTTTCCAATATTTTGAGTATTACACTTGTAAATGATACAGGCCTATAATTGAGTGAGGGGGGGGGGTCATCCCTGCTTCCACTTTTATAGATTAGAACTATGTTAGCCTTTTTCCACACGTCTGGTATGACTCCTGTACACATGGATGCCTGAAAAATCAGTCGAAGTGGAATGCTGAGCTTGGGTGCACATTCTCTCAGAACCCATGGTGAAACTCCATCTGGGCCAACTGCTTTGTTCTTACTTAGCTCCTTGAGCATTTTATTCACCTCATCTCTAGACACCTCTATTTGCTCTAAGTTGTTCTCTGGAATTCTTATTGTGTTTGGTTCTCTAAAGATTTCATTTTGTACAAACTCTTTGGAACTTTTTGTATAATGTTTCACACATTTCCTTTTCATTTTCCGTGAATCTGTGTCCCCATTTTCAACCTCTGAATATAACCCTTTAGATGCAATTTGTTGTTAATAAATTTATAGAAAAGGCCTGGATTTGTTTAACATTTGTCCACTATCCCTTTCTCAAAATTTCTTTCTGCCTCTCTCCTCACTGCCATGCAGTCGTTTCTCGTATTTTTGTATTGTTGGTATGTTTTTCTGCTATGTGGGCCTCTTCCTATATTGATTTCATTTTTGTGTCTTTTGGTCTCTGGCTTCCCCTCGCAATTTCTGCGAGAGGGCCAGAAATTTTTCCGTTTATCATCCTGATTCCAGACCTGCAATGCCATTATGTTCACGTCTCTAGGATTTACAAGTATTAACTCTCCTACTTTTAAGTTTTTTCCACCAGCACAGCCACTCCTCCCCCCTTCCTAGTTTTCCTGTCACTTTTCCAAACTGATTAGCCTCTTGGGAATACGACTTCATTTAAAATATTTTCATCAAGTTTCATCTCTATTAATGCGACAATATCTGGGGCCTTAAGCTGAATTATATCATTCGGCTCCAATATTTTTTATCACACTCCATCTATGTTGGTATATGCTATTTTCAGGAACACATTCCCCTTCCCTTTGTTCTTTACTCCCTCTTCCTCTAATGATTCTGTTGCTTTGTTTTCATGTACCATTTCACTAGCTTTTCAGTCCTTAACACTTGTAGAAAACAAAATCTTTCTTCAATTCTATTCCCATTTAGACGTTTCACTTCAATGAGGTTCATTTTCAGCTTTTGCATGTCTTCCTTTGAGAGGTCTTGTCTTATTGACCAAAGTTTGCCATCCTCATTACATTACAATTTCCTGGCATTTCTAAGCACTTCCGTCATATGTTTCACTCCGTTAAATGTCATCCTTAAGGGGCAGTTCTTGGGTGTTCCTGGATGTGTGTGAAGTGTGTCTTGAAGTGTGCGAAGAACTCGACAAGAGGTTCCGAACAGTCTACAAACCAGAACAGATTGGTGTTCATGGAAACATGACAACAGACAAGCAGAAACTACATTAGACAGAATTGAAATTGCCCTCAACTTCGAAACCCTCTGATGATATAGAGTCCTGCCCAAAGGAGATGGAGTCGAGGTCCATCAAACAAAACCAGATGGACCAGAAGAAAGAGAAGGAAGGGCAAATTTGGAGCAAGTGGGCAAAAACCAACCATTCCGAGTCCAAATCACAAAAAACTTAATGGGGCTGAATCATGGCAACCACAGCGACACCAAGCCATAAACAATGCATACAGGAAAATCCTCTCCATAAAGTGGCTGCTTCCTGATAAGCTCCATCCATAGAGAGAAATAGCTAATAGACCCCCAACAATGACACACATTGAGGCCTTAGAGTGGAAAATATCACTCACCCAGAAGGCAGCATGGAAGAGGAAGAAAGGATGACCATCAGCATATAAGAGAACCAAGGTACATCCATCAACCTCTCACCCAGCAGTTGGAGGCTCGGTGTGCAAGTCCATGACGAACTACACCAGAGTACAAAGAGGGCTTGCAAGGCCCTAAAGAAAAACCAAGCAGGACACCAGGCATTGTGGCCACTTGTCAATAATCAAATGCTGAACCCAGCCTATGGAACCCAGGAAGCTAGGAAATGCCAAAGTGGTGCAATGCAATCATGTATAGGTGAAATTCCGGGTGCACCCTACAACAAAGACAACCCCTGACCACCACAAACCAAAGTATTACAGAGGAATCAAAGACCCATGCACTACTCAAGAAGAGGCATCTTCTATATGAGAATGACTTCCTGAGTCCACCAGGGAAGGGTCAACAAAATAGCCATGCAGTGGCACCTGCCTGATGATCCCAGACCAAGAAAAAGCAGGGTCATTAAAGGCCTGCCTGTCAATCTCAAAATAGCACAGTGCCAGGCGGGACAGGGGAGGTTGGAGAAGGGAGGGTTGTCATGGAGGAGAAAGAAGGAGCATGGGACACACTCCTTCTAGGGGCAGGAGCCAGTTTAAAAGTTAATAAGGGATGCTATGACAACAAAAGTCATAGGCACTTGAGTGGAAGGGATCAAACCATCCACAGGCAGTAGAGTGGAAGCAGTAATGAATGGCCTTCATAATGTCAGAAGATTGAGGGACATCTTTCAAACTTGCACCCAGTAAGTGCAGTTTTGGAGAGCTGGTCAATATTGAACTATAGAAGGGGGCCAGATTTTATCCTCTGGTCCCCAATAAGCTTACAATAACTAGCAGAGTTCAGGTTTGATTCATACTGGGTGGAGCTATCCAAGTTGCTATCAACAGAGCCACCATAGGAGTCCTCCACAATACCCCAATAAAGGAAAAGATGACAGAATTCTTCCCAGGACATACAGTGCATGCACCACATGCATGAAAGAAGCCATGAAAGAACACCCACCGAGTAAAGCACCCTCAGTTAGTTGAGGCCCAGGGGGACCACCACACAGGTGAAGGCCTGGCTGCCCAAATGGTGCACAAGGCTCTTGATGGGAAGCCAAGACCATGAGCACCACTGGCTGGCAAAAAACTGCTCTAATGATTACCCAACTACTACAGTACAGTATATATTACTCCCCAAAATCACTAACCCTTACTAATACAATATTATCTACACAGGCATAGCAAAAATAAACTTCATAAAAACATTTTTTGGGATAGTTAAATCATTAACATTTCACTTCCCCCTCTGATTACATTATGCACACTGCCCCGTTTAGAGACATCAGCTGTGATATTAGTACCTGCACACTCCAAGTAGTGTTGGAGACATCTGGTACAGGGCCAGGAAAATGACTAAACAAGGCAAACCCAATAATTGAATTTTTTATTTAAAGGTTTTAAGTTACTATTAAAATATATCTTACCTCAAATATATCCACAGTTCCACTGCTCAGAGCACACGCAACTAAACTTTCATCGGGCGATATACTGAGCTGCACAACTGATCCATTCTAGTTAGAAAATAAAGTTCATTAAATAAACTCAACAAAATACAGATCTTGAATGGCATGTATACACTAACCCAACAGTACTGTTGTACAATAATATACTATGCACCGTACAGTACATAGATTATAGGTACCCTGTTTTGTACTTTCAAGACATGTAGGTGGCATCACACCAAAGAAAAAATAGTGCTAAATGTAATGAAATACAATTTTCTGGTAGGACCACAGTAGCTATCAGGGTGACATGATTGTACAGTACAGCCATGCCTTTGGAAGACAAGAAGTCTTTGAGGTACCAGGGCTAGGACAGGAATCTGGCTCTCTTGAGGTGAGGGGGGGGGGGGGGCTTAGGGATCAAACTTCAATCCAAAACAAAGAAACAAAACAGAGGAAAGCATAAGCACAACAAAATAAGCAACTGCTTTAAAGAAATTTGGTGTGCAAGAGTAAGGAGGGAAATGATAATTGTCATGGTGTAAACACCCTAACGTGATGCTCCCGACTGCTACCAGGAGGCAGTCCAGGTCCCCCTAAAGTCCAGTCAGCCAACCCCTCCCCCTCACTTATGATCTTGCCAAATGGAACCCTTCACCTTTTTCCAGTACAGACCAGTTTTTTATCAGTATTATAAATCTGTTCTGATCATAAATCTTGAATTACCACAAAGGACATAGAGTAACTGTAGATTTATTTATGAATATAAGTGGCTGTAATACCTGTATCAGCAGATTGGCATTCCCATGGCAATTTCATTCATTTAATACCAAGATAGCTTTTACAACTCCTAAGTCACCCTTCTGAATATACACACCTCAGTAACATTCATTTTGGTATGGAATCTCCTTGGACTGTTTAATGAGTAACTAGCTCAGACTGGTATTTTTTATTCAATATTCTTTTGTTTGTACCTATGCCACACTGCATTATCAACACACTACACCTTTAGACTTACTGTACTTAATGGTTATTTTGAGGTTATCTTGAGATGATTTCGGGGCTTAGCATCCCCGCGGTCCTGTCCTCGACCAGGCCTCCTTTTTGTTACACCCTCTTCCCCCCCCACCTTCCCTCAGGAAGCAGCCCTGGATGATGCCTGGTTACCTGGTTGATACCTGCTTGATGGGATTCTGGGAGTTCTTTTACTCCCAAGCCCGGCCCGGGGCCAGGTTTGACTTGTGAGAGTTTGGTCCACTAGGCTGTTGCTTGGAGCGGCCCGCAGGCCCACATACCCACCACAGCCCAGTTGGTCCAGCACTCCTTCAAGGAAACAATCTAGGTTCCTCTTGAAAATGTCTACTGTTGTTCCGACAATATTTCTTATGCTTGCTGGGAGGGTGTTGAACAACCGTGAACCTCTGATGTTCATACAGTGTTCTCTGATTGTGCCTATGGCACCTCTGCTCTTCACTGGTTCTATTCTATTCTGCATTTTCTTCCATATCGTTCACTCCAGTATGTTATTATTTTACTGTGTAGATTTGGGACCTGTCCCTCCAGTATTTTCCATGTGTATATTATTTGGTATCTCTCTCGTCTCTTTTCTAGTGAGTACATTTGGAGGGCTTTGAGATGATCCCAATAATTTAGGTGCTTTATCTCGCCTATGCATGCCGTATATGTTCGCTGTATTCCCTCTATTTCGGCAATCTCTCCTGCTCTGAAGGGGGAAGTGAGTACTGAGCAGTACTCAAGCCGGGACAACATAAGTGCTTTGAAGAGTACAACCATTGAGATGGGATCTCTGGATTTGAAAGTTCTCGTACTCAATCCTATCATTTTTCTGGCTGACGCAATATTTGCTTGGTTATGCGCCCTAAAGGTTAGGTCATCGGACATCATTATTCCCAAATCCTTGACATGCTGTTTTCCGTTTTTAAAAGGGTTAAGAATGCTTCCCCAATTTATAAATTTTACAAATTTCAATTTTGAAGGCACAAAAAAAAATACCCATGAGAAATTGAATGGTTTTGAAAATGCTCAGAATACAAAATAACAGCATTTACCTCTGTTGGAATTTGGTTTTTGAGGTTGAGTGTCTCATGATCAAGCACATATATGGTGCCACTGTTAGCTCCCAGTACTATTGATGACGAACACAGGTCAAAACACACCACCTGCAAATATTAAAACTTTGATTAAACTAGCCAGTAACTTAATGAAAATAGTATCATACCAAAACTGTACATATATTCATTGTATCAGTAAGTGAAAACTTGAAAAAACCAGCGTTAAATGTAATGAAACGTCATTTTCTGGGTGAAACCTGTAGGCTCCCCGGAGATATCCAGGCAGATATTGCTAATATTAGACTTTGGCATCAGTCAGTATGAGCCTTGGAAAAACAATCCAAAACCGAAGGAGCCACCACAAACCGAGGAGAAGAGAGAAAAGAAAGCACCCGATCCAAGGATCAGGATGGCTCATGCGGCGAGTGAGCAGGCTGGAGGTGAAATAACGCACGAGACAGCTTGAAAAATGGCACAGAAGTAACATCAATACCGAACGCAAGATGTAGCGGCTCCGCCAGCGCCGCACAATACGAGGCAACAGTATTTGGCATAAGATGACGGTCTTGAAACAACCATGAGAGAAAGGAAAATACAACCCTAACCCGGGAGCTTAGAATACCTATGAAGTGAGAGAAAGAAACTAAAGGACCGCCAGGAAACTTCTTACTGCCGCCGAGACGAAGCTCGCAGATGGGACACCATCAAAGACGCCACCTGATCACCATACAGATGGTGATAAACTCGAGTCAAAAAGACCAAACGCTAAGACTCGAGGAGAAGAGTGAACCAGCCACGTGACAGACTGGACCGTCCGTGAACACATCGATCGAGGGCTCGGGTGAGAGCCAAGGCACCGAACCCCGAAAAACCAGAAGAGGAAGCCGGTGATACAGCAACCGACGCAAGGCCCCCGGAGGCTGAACCCAGCGATCACGAGAGAGGTGGAAGGGACAGCCCTGAAGAAACCAGAAGAGCCGACAAAGCCAAACCCGACACAGCAGGTAGACGGTCACGGCAAAGTTCAGGCTTCTGCACAAACCCCTCGAGCAACCGCCGAGTGACCCAGGAGCCTCCCAGAAACAGGCACAGACGTGACCGCAGCCAAAGGAGAGACTTCGGGGGGAGAGACAAGGAAGCGGTCCAAAGGTCCCAAACAAGACCCAGCCAAGTAAGAACCTGAGAGGGAACCAAATGGGACTTCCTACAGTTCACCAAGAACCCGAACTCGGCGAGCTGGGAAAGAACCAAATTCCTGGCAAGCAGATAAGCAAACAGGCTGGGAGCCCAGACCAGTCAGTCGTCGAGGTAGGCCAACACCCGAACACCTAAAAGACACAGACGGGCCACCACAACCCGGTTAAGGCACTTTAAAATGCGAGATGCTAGGTTCAACCCGAACGGGAGACAATGAAAGCTGTAACCGACATGCCCCACAACAAAACTGAGCCAGTTCCTGAATCCTGGATGAATTGGGATGTGCCAATATGCATCCCTGTGGTCCAGGGACACCATCCAAGTACCCGGCTCCAACAGAAGCCAGACCTGGGACAGAGTAGTCATCCGAGAGGGGGGGCAATGAATCCAGGGGTTCAGACGGGACAAGTCCAGAATGAACAGCAGGTCCGCACAGTCCCATTTCGTGACTGGTTGATACCTGGTTGATGGGGTTCTGGGAGTTCTTCTACTCCCCAAGCCCAGCCCAAGGCCAGGCTTGACTTGTGAGAGTTTGGTCCACCAGGCTGTTGCTTGGAGCGGCCCGCAGGCCCACATACCCACCACAGCCCGGTTGGTCCGGCACTCCTTGGAGGAATAAATCTAGTTTCTTCTTGAAGATGTCCACGGTTGTTCCGGTAATATTTCTTATGCTTGCTGGGAGGACGTTGAACAACCGCGGACCTCTGATGTTTATACAGTGTTCTCTGATTGTGCCTATGGCACCTCTGCTCTTCACTGGTTCTATTCTACATTTTCTTCCATATTGTTCACTCCAGTACGTTGTTATTTTACTGTGTAGATTTGGTATTTGGCCCTCCAGTATCTTCCAGGTGTATATTATTTGATATCTCTCTCGTCTTCTTTCTAGTGAGTACATTTGGAGGGCTTTGAGACGATCCCAATAATTTAGGTGCTTTATTGCGTCTATGCGTGCCGTATATGTTCTCTGTATTCTCTCTATTTCAGCAATCTCTCCTGCTCTGAAGGGGGAAGTGAGTACTGAGCAGTACTCAAGACGGGACAACACAAGTGACTTGAAGAGTGCAACCATTGTAATGGGATCCCTGGATTTGAAAGTCCTCGTAATCCATCCTATCATTTTTCTGGCTGTCGCAATATTTGCTTGGTTATGCTCCTTAAACGTTAAGTTGTCAGACATTATTATTCCCAAATCCTTTACATGCTGTTTTCCTACTATGGGTACATTTGATTGTGTTTTGTACTCTGTATTATGTTTAAGGTCCTCATTTTTACCTACCTGAGCACCTGGAATTTATCACTGTTAAACATCATGTTATTTTCTGATGCCCAGTCGAAAACTTTATTAATATCAGCTTGAAGTTGTTCAGTGTCTTCAGCCGAGATAATTTTCTGGAAACAGATGGGAAACCCCCCTGAGGGACGTCGTCGTTTCGACCACGCCCAAGCGCACCCACTCTGAGATGACCTGACAGAGCACAAGAGAAGAGGCCTGCTCTGCAAGCCCCAAGCCTTCCGAAGGAGGCAAGGCTACCCAACGCCACTGCAGGCTGGCAGAAACGACCCGAAACACCCACAAATCATGGGACCAGGCATGAGCGAACAGAGCAAGCCTCTCCCCCATCGCCTCATCAATGGGACGAACTGCAAAAGGGCCGATGCCCCTTGTGAGAATCCGAGCTTCGCACAAAACGAACACCACGCCGACCAGACAAAGACAACTCCGAAGGCGCCACCGGCACCAAAACTGGCACCGGTAGCCTACCACGATGAGCGGAACCCCGAGCCCTGGCACAACCCCTCCAGGAAGGACCCCCTTCCTGGGACCCCCGGAAAACTAACAAGTTGGACATCGGACGACAGCTAGCAGAAGCCGCCTGAATATACTCTGCCACCGCAGAATCAGCGAACAGCAGGGGACAAAAAGGCGAAGACATTCTAAGAGCCAGGGCCCAAGCAAATTCCGAGGAGGAAGCAAGCACCGCCTGCCAACATGCGAGCTGGGAGGCATAAAACAGTGACAACGCATCTCGCAGGATCGGCGCAAACAGCTTCAACAAGGCAGCCAACGAACGTGCAGCCGAGCCCAAGGCGCTAGACCCAGCAGACCACGAGTGCGCAGGTCTTCAGCAATCAGTGCAGCCAAAAGGGAGGGAACCTGCACGTAAACTGCATGACGCCCACATCCCGAGGAAGGGCAGGGACAAACAAGCACTCATTAAGGTGCTCAACCTCGCCCCCCAGGAAAACCTGGATCACCGTCAACGCCTCATGCCACTTTAGCGTACGAGAATGATAGAAGGTAAAAAAAAAAAAAGAATATTTAAAAGACAATTTGTACCGCGACTGGGTCCAGGAGTCTAAGCCATGGGCGACCACCATATCGTGACATCACACGCCATTTTCCGGACCCCATTGCGACCAAAGTAAGTACAATTTTGATTTTTTTTTTTTACATAGCTGAGATCAGGGAAGGGTATTTAACATTTTCAAAAACAAAAAAAAATTTTTTGCCAAGAATTTATTTCCTGTGCACAGGGGGAGTGCCATATTTGGAGCCCGAACAGCACAGTGGTTAAACTTATCCTACCCATTACAAGAATGTTTACTCTCAAAGTGCATACACAGAAGGAACAGAAATTATTCTGCCTCAAAACCAATTTTTATGAGGAAAGTACTGTACTGTATACTGTATTAAAGATGATCCACTTGGAAATTAATGATCCCACCCACCACCCCATCTATATCACAGAAAGGCAAGGACATAAATGAAAACAAATACAACTATATAATGTTTGCATGTATTCACTGTTCCAGCAGCCCATTCTCAAAGCAAATCCATTACCATGAGAAACTAAACTCCCCTTCAAACCACCTGGATACTTATTTAAATATCTGTGATGTTCTGAAAGCATATTATGGTTCCAGTAATAGTATACATATAAACTGGCAAGAGTCCTAAACAGAGAATATTCTCAAGTTCTAACTTTATTGTATTATAAATCGTTGGTTTAAAATATAAAAAGTACATGCTGAACACATTTTGTTTGAAGAATTTGCTGAAGAAGAGTAACACTGAGGGAGGGAGGGAAAGGGGCAGTGAGGGAGAGGTGAGCCCACAGCAGGTTTCTATGGTTAATCCTGTAGCTGATGTGGTCGATATATATACAGTATATATTTCATTGAATATGACTGCATATTCTGTATTTATTATTTTCTGGTTTAGGGCTTCTATCCCTCTATTTTCTTAGCATCAGGGCTTAGTTGAAATAGGAGTTCTCCAAAACTCATTTTCGTACTTTTAAGGTGAAGAAAAGAAGTGATTTACTATAGAATGTATTACACTTATTTATACAATTTTCACAACGTTTCGAACCTCCATGGTTCATTCTCAAGTGAAGCGATTTTACAGGGCTGGTTGATTTTATACCCACACTGGATCAGGTGATAAGACAATAAAGGTGAAAACATGGGGGGATACATAAGGGATAAATGTGGGGTGAAACATAAGAACATAAGAATAGAGGTAACTGCAGAAGGCTTATTGGCCCATACGAGGCAGCTTCTATCTACATACAAAGATTAATCAAGTGTAATTGGACTGTTATATTGAACATTGTCTTCTGTGTTGGCATCGTTATGTTCTGGTCTTGTCCTTACTCTCATGGTGGGTAGAGTAAATAGTTCCGTGATTTGGGTGTTCATGGTAGGTTGTTCTATTCTTATGTGAATTGCTTCAAGAATTTGTAATCTTCTTGCATCTTGGGTTTTGTACAAAACCCAAGATATACAGTGGAACCTCTATTAACGAGTTTAATCCGTTCTGGCACTGAGCTCGTTACCTGGAAAACTCGTCTTTGGAAACAAATTGCCCCATTTAAAATAAAGGAAATAAATTTAATCCGTTCCACTCCCAAAAACATCCATACTTGTATGACTTTTTTTTATGTAAATATAATACTGCACATGTAAATATAAATGTTTTGTTGTAGTGTTTTAATATTTACTTTACCTTATGAAGAGTAGTTGCTGGCTTGAGGGAGACGATGGAGAGGTGGGAAGGAGGAGAGGGGTTATGGTGTGGAAGGAGAATCCACCTCTGAGTCAGGCGCTCTCTCTCTTCTTGGGAATTTCACCCAAATTTCATTTCAAATGTCACACAAGGATGCGTTAGACCAGCACCAAATAAAAAACTACGTTGATTATACTCGTTGTGTCAACAATATAATAGTCTTACCACGAAGATACAAT